TATGCCTTGAGCACATGTGGGAGACCCCTCCTGATGGCTTGTACCTGTGTGGACTGTTACCTGGCTGTGGTTCATCCAATCTTCTACCACAAGAGGAAGAGTCTGACTCCCAGGGTTGTGATAGTCGGCATTGTTTGGACTCTGACGTTTGCCACTGGGGTTGCATTCTTTCTTTGTTTCTTGTTATACCTCACCATGTTTTCCATTGCGCCATATGTAATAGCTATGATAATAATTGGCATCTGTGATTCTCTCATCCTCCACAAACTAATTAAGCCTGAACCTGGCAGAACAAACATTCACCCGCAGAAGCAAAGAGCCGTCCACACCCTCATCAACAGCCTGGTGATGACAGTCTTGTCTTACCTTCCTCCAGTGCTTATGTTAGTTGTTGGCTGGCCGCTGATCAGCAGTTTCAACGCCTTCCTTTGTTTGATTGCTATTCCGATGACCATTACTTCCACTTTGGGATCTACTATCATGCCGATACTCCATCTAAAGAATCAGGGAAAATTGGATTGTTTCAGGCTCGGATGCTGCAAGAATTCTTAATTCATGCCTCCTCTGATAGTATCTGCATCTCCCTCTCACATAACCAGGTGCCAGAAGCTAAAAGGTCTCTGACTCGTAGAAAGTTAAAATAACCCCTAACTCAGTTTTTCAAGTAAGCCATATCCCTGTGCATATTTAGACCATCACATATTTATGACATCATGAGCGTAGATTTCATTTCAACACTAGGGGGACACATATGTAACGAATGGGTTGGGCGTCCTCTACTAGAAATATTTGAGCATGCTTATTAATTAATTGGAAATCAGACGATGCACCATCCCCAAGACACTGGATTAATGAACTTGCCTCTTACACACCTACACAAATATTATATAATATGAGGAAAAAAACCTTCAATCTTTCAGAAAATATGGGATCCCTTTATTGACATTTTTATAGAAATGACAAAAAATGTAGAACCAGGGGTGGGAGGTTGATGCTGAACAACTTCTTGTTTCTCTTTCCCAAGTTTGATCATTTCTGATCCATTCGTGAATATATCAATATAAGTTTGTGTGTCAAAATGTCCTAAGATTTAATTTTAGTCCATCCTCCCTGTACAGTATATACTTAAGGGATAGTATTCGTACGTTTTATTTAAATTCTTTTTTTTAGTATGTTTTTTTTGTATTTTGTTTTGTTTTTTGTTTTTGGATAAGTATCTTTGTCCTTTTACTATTTCTTTTAAAAAATAATATTTTCAAACACACATTTTGGAACTACTCCTGCACTGTAATTTGAGCATCTGTTAATCTGTTTCCTGCATTCTAGTGAAATTTTATGCACCAAAAATGTGGGGAGACAAATGCATGTTCTAAATATTAAGGAGGAGTTGTCTCCTGTATTTTCCCCTGAACTCTACACCTATGTGGCATGTGGTTCTCTTCTTGATTTAATTTATCTAATGCTATGTTCTTATATCATTTATCATGTCATGCTGTATGTTTGCACTAATGTTTTATGTTTATAAAAAAGAATTAAAGAAAGTTAGAATTAAGTAACTTTCATACTTATACTTAAATTTATCTTTATTTTTAAGACAACCAGTTTGATAAATGTTGATGGTGTGATGTTCACACACCAGCTAGAGCACTGAGGTCATCAAATGAGTTGCTTCTAGATGTCCCGATATCTAGGCTCAAAACTAAAGGAGACCAAGCCTTCGCAGTGGCTGCCCCAAAATTGTGGAACAGCTTACCATTGTATATTAGATCTGCCCAGACTCTTGAGATATTTAAGTCGTTGCTGAAGACCCATCTCTTCTCGTTAGCATTTGACGCATGTTGAGCCGAACATTGCCAATGTATGGACTGTTTTTATTGAATTTTGTGCCTATTGTGCACTTTATTTTGTTTTCTATTGTTACTCTTAATATTTCTATGTACTGTGTGCTCTAATACTGTATTTTTCTATTTCTATAGTTGTATTTTAATACTTAAGTGCTTTCTAGATTGTACAGCACTTTGGCAAACCTCGGTTGTTTTAAATGTGCTATATAAATAAATTTGACCTTGACCTTGACCTTGATTAGAAATAAATAGCTATGAACTATCCTATCTGTTGTTAAAACACTTTGATGCACATTTTGTTTGTTGCTGGTTCTTTCCTACTCTACAGTTTCCTGTATAATTCTGTAGATATTTTTACCTTAAGATGACAGCTTATATTAATGTCTTGTCTGATTAATGGAAAAAATCTCCATAAATAAACCATTTTAAAAAAGAGAAATGAATAAGTGAATGTCTCACAAAGTGAAACTCACAATAAAGCTGTTAAACTTTTGATCATGATTATCGATGGTAAACCTCAGATGCTCCATACTGTGGTGGCAAACAGGTGGCGGGATAACTGGAGGAAAACTATACCCTGTGAAAATAAACTATTTGTTCTAACTTATAAAAGCTAGTGTCCAGGTTGTCTTAAAAATTTAAGTTGACCGAATCTAAAAAGACAAGTTCAATCATTACAAAATTACCTCAACTTGTCTTCTCAAATTCAGTCAACTTAAAATTTCAAGGCAGCCCAGAAACTTTTTATTTTTTAAGTTAGAACAAATACTTTCTCTTTACAGTATATCTAAGCTGCTGTGGAGTTACCACTGTAACTTTTATCTGTATAATTTGAAAGAAACCCGAAACCTTTCAACTAATATTGTTACGCCACAGACAATGGATAGAAAATTATATCAGTATAAAAAATTCCTAACAATTGTATTGGCTTTTAAACACATCAGAACAAACGGAACTATTAGTATTGTAGATGAGAAGACACTGTGCTTCTGCATATAATTTACTATAACTTTGAAAACCTCAGACTGAGACATTAATCTGATAACACTAATGAAATGTTTGATAAACGTGAGGAAAAAGTCTTATTCATCGGCTCATCAGCTGGATGACTTTGTAAAATCAAAGACTTCTTTTCCACGACAGATTTATATTTGGTTCCTCATTTGCAGTGATATCTGACTAATGTAAATGATGAAGACGAGCAGGTCATCTTTCATGACAGTTGTACTCATGCAGGTGTGCAGGTATAAACAAACATTTACATACTGTGGGATGAAGATGTGTGTTGGAAAAAGGTACATTGTGTGACGGGAGTTTCCAAGTCGGATTTTCCAACACAAGGGATTCAGAGTATTTAACAAAAATTGATACACACAAACAAGATTATAATTTTGTTCTCTTCTACATACACACATATTTTTACATATTTTTTGCGTCCTTGTTTTATGTTTTAATCTCACCTAAAACTATTAAAACATGTGTAATATAACAAATATAATTATATTTGTTGTCATGAATCCTACATTTTATTACTTTATATATGTTTTATCTTAACACTTACTCACTCCACAGTGAATAGGAAAAACTCACACTTTATTGATCCCAGAAATGAAGCATACACTGATTCACATTTATATATAGATAAGTATAAAATGGAAAATCATATAATTGATAGTATATAATAAATAACAATAACAACAAAGTTAATATAAGCATGTGATTTGTGAGCTCTTTCCTGAAAAATGATGGGATGGATGATACATATTGTGACACTTACATCCTGATATCTGCCGACACTGATGCCTACTGAGACGAATCAACTCAGACCGTGCAGTTAAACAAGTTTATTTACAAGTTATTTACATCATCAGCTGAGTAGATTATTTGTGCGCTGAAATATCGTAAAAAGCAGTTCAGACAATTCTACTGGCTGCACGCAAATAAAGCTGCAACTTGTGAATGGTTAATAGAGGCTTCCTTGGCTCATGACTGGATCAGGGATGCACCAGCAAGAGATGCAATCCAGGCAAAAGTTTTGGACCCCCCACAAAAACTGGGAAAAGGGGCTCCCGATGGCCACTCATGTTGGTACATTTTGCAATGACAACTAGAAAGCCCCTCCCATAAAAGCACTACAGTGCACTGCTAACGCCCCAAAAGAACCCTAAGTGGGGCCCCTTCTGGCGAGTGTATGACAGCTAGCTACCTCTAAAACTTTCATACATACAATATTAGGTGTAACTGTATAAATCTAGTATCACCACTGAACTGGATGCATTTACTGTTTTGTAGTTGACACATCACCATCAAACTTGACTATCAAGGTGAGACACTACAGGTGAAAATGCTTTTTCATGTGCTGGTCAGTTTTGAGATTTTGGGCTATTTTGCTTCCATAACATGTTGTCATTCAGACTAAGACTGGAAAGACAACATCCAAAATGCACGTTTAGATTTTTATTTATGTTCAGATTCCTGTTCTGGAAACGTATGCAAACAATGCATGTTTAACTATATAATGAGTACTTTGCATACTCAAACATAAAATGTAATAAAACTTGTAATATAAAAAATAATTGTCTTAATGTAAGTAATCAACTGGGGAAGGTTTCACGGCAATTTCTATTAGATAACATTTTTACCCTCTTCATCTGTGCCGTCTTATTTTTGGTCCAAAAATGTACGTAATTTTACAACACATACCTTTAAAGGCCATTTTCTCAAAATTGGATTTTTTTCTCTGAGACAGACATCAACACCACTAACCATTCTGGCTTTATCCCTGTTTATATTCCAAAGATTGTGTTTTTTTTACATAGGGGATTGTTTATATATCATTAATAGCTTGATTTATATAACCATAGATGTAGATTTCACAGGGGACATGGCACCATCAATATTAAGAACGTTTGCATTCGACACCCCCACCCCCCAATAAAAACATAAAAGTAGCAGAGGACATTTCAACAACATTTAAGACATTTACACCATAAACTGCTGCATTAAAGGCACAAAATGGCACATAAAAAAATCAACAGAATGAAGGAAATTAAGCGCCGTCTACCAAACCTGCTGCTTCACGTGTCGCCCCAATACTGCACTACCATGGCACCTATGATGATATGCATTAGTTAAAACTGTCTAACCCTATTCTCTCTAACTATCTGAACAGCAGGGACTCTTCACACTCCCCAGATTCCCCAGATAGAGCAGAGGCATGATCACACTCCCTGCAGTTGGAGTTATCAGGATCGGTATGGCCAAAAAGCATTCATACACTGTGTCATCACTGATGATCAGATCTCCAAGGATGTACGCCAGGACTGGGGGGACGTACGATGTGACAGTCATGACCATGCTGTTAGTGATGATCTGCAGAGCCTTCTTCTTCCTGGGGTGGAGGTCTCCGCCTGCATGGACAGACTTCTTCAGAGTCCAGAGGATGGAGACATCACATGAGATGATGATGGGCAGTGCTATGACGTACACAGACATGGCCCAGGCGCTGTGGTTCATCTCACTGACGACTGTGAACGTGATCCCTTGAGTCACCGTGATGGTCCACACAGCCGCAGCCATGAGGACGCGGGGGGTCAGACTCTTCCTGGTGCGGTAGGTGACAGGATGGACCACAGCCAGGTAGCAGTCCAGACAGATACACGCTGTAAACAGAGGTCGTCCAGCCAGGTTCAGAGCATACAGGAAGTTACTCAGCATTTGAATGGGCCTGATGTACCACAGCAGGAAGTTACACAGTCCGAGCGGACAAAAAACAAGAAGACCAAGTCCATGATGGTGAGGTTGAGCATGAAGACGTCGTTGGGGGAGACGGGGGTTCCTGCTTTGTGTCTGCAGAACAGCTCTAAGAGAACAGCAACACAGGCAGGACACCCAACCAGAGAGAAGAGAGCGCTGAGAGACGCCCAGACTATGATACCTGCCATCATGTCCCCACAGTGTCCAAACATGAAGACTCCCATGTCCCCTGAAGGCTCACTGGAGTTGGAGGTTAGATTCTGGAGAATCATTGCAGCTGTGACAACTTGTTCAGCTACTGCCTGAAATAAAACAGGAATACATAAAATGAGGCAAATAAAAAACTAGATCTTTCACCTTAATATTTTTCTCTGACAAGCCACGATGTGTTTAATTGCCATCTTACCTTGACGATGTGACCCCATTTTTGGACTAGACTTTCTAATGAAGGGGCTGATTTGTTTATCTTATGAAAACTGTGATTTGAATATGCACGTGACACTCAGGATCATTTTTCAATCTTCATCGGCACTGACATTTTGTAAACAACAAATCAGGCTGACTCCAGGTATTTTAGATTCTGTTACTGTGATATAATCTGGGCTGTGTTAAAATGGAGTTCTCTCTACCTCATGGTAAAGATAGAGATCGAAGGTCAAGGGTACCTCTATCAGGCCAGTTCACGAAAGTCTCTCTAACAACCAGAGCAACACTATGGTATTACACACGTTATTCAATAAGGCTGCAGTAGCTCAGTCCATAGGCACTTGGGTTGGAAAACACAGGGTAGCTCATTCAAGTCCTTGTTGGGACCAAGTATGGAGCGTATGGAGCAATCCACAGACCTTGGTGTGAGCAGTTGCATGTAGGAAGTACTTTCATTCTACCAAACTACACCTGCCAATCATATCACTGCGCAGAAAGAGCCGCAGTCTGACACAGCTAGCTTATGGAGATTAGTTTATAGCTAACCAACATTGCTAGCTCACCAGAGCGGGAGCGTATCTATGTTTCCAGGGTTCTATGTTTCCCACTTAACCCTGCAAAAAAGGTTCTATGTTGCCTGCTTAACCAAGCGGGAAACATAGAACCCTTTTTGTGTAAGCGGGGAACATAGAAGCTTTTTTGCAGGGTTAAGTGGGGAACATAGAACCCAGGAAACATAGAACCCTGGAAACATAGGGATGACCCCCTCAGGCTTGTGGTGCTCAAAGTGCCCAAAAAATACATTTGACAAACTCAACAGCAATGTCTCTTCCCAGAAATCATGACCTGGTTACTCAAGATAATCCACAGACCTTGTTGTGAGCAGTTTCATGTAGGAACTATTTTCTTTCTACTGAACTACACCCATCAACTATATCATTACACAGAAGGAAACGTGCATCTACTGCTAGCTCACCTAACACCACTGAGCTAGCTAACATCACAGCTCAGCCGAGGACGAAGTCTTTAATGTTTATATCTCACGCTGTCACGAAAACAAGCCTCTCGTCTATTAGCAGATGCACACATCCTTCTGCACAGTAATACGGTTGGTGGGTTTGCTAGAAAGAAAATAGTTCCTACATGAAACTGCTCACAACCCGATTTTCAAATGTATTTTTTGGCACTTTGAGCACCACAAGCTGAGTGCCATCTAGTTCCATTATATTGGAGAGAAGGCAGACATCTCTACGGCTGATATCTCCAACACTCTGCAACTCACACCAAAACACTCTAGATGAATAATCAGCACTACAGGTAAGAGGAAAATACTTTGATTTTGGAGTGAACTGTCCCTTTAGACCATTGTGCTTGTATTCTTATGTCTCTCTATTATTTTAATGATATTAAAGACATAAAAAGGCACATAATTAATAAAAAACAAAATTATCTGGGTAAATGGTACTGCCATATTAAACATCATGAATATTTCACAGTGTAAACATCATGTAGCTTTGATAAAGAGCTGGAACGAGCTGATACATAAGATGATTGATCCAACTTTGAAACTACTTAAGGTGGAAACAAAAGGGAAAAAGTGGAACCTGCATCACTCTAGTAGCCAAGTGGACTCACTCTGTTTCTATTACATATTGTAGTGAAGCAAATAAAGTACCTACATTTACAATGTCTATATACTGAGCGAATGAAGAGGTGGTTAAATATACTGTTGTCAGTGGAAACAGCATAAAACTACTTATAAAGGGGGGGAAAAAGTAGCAAAATAATTCAAACTAATAAACGGTCCGTCATTTCTCCTTCAGATAAACACTACTGTTGTAGTTCCACTCTCCATCACTGGGTGGCAGGAGCAGCTAACTGAGTGCAGCAACATGCCGTTCATAATGTGCTTACCACCAGCAAGCATTTTAGACAGACCACAGTTGGTAAATGAAGAATTATTGACAATTAAAAATGTCTTACAAAAATAAAATCTGACAGGATTATTTTGTCAAAGAAATTAGATAGAATCCAGTTTTCACTGTTTGTACCGGTTTAGAAGAAAACATTTAGTTTTATGTGATTTATAAGCTTTTAATGACACACAATGTATGCAAACAATTCCATATAAAATGACTATTTTCTTCATAAAATATTTTCTTATGTATTTACTCCCACCTCCCTCCACAGTAGAGCAACTGGTCACAATGTGTTCAATCAAATTAGCTACCAAAGTGATTGTTTTTATTTATACATATATATATACTACACATTTACACTGTGGGACTTACTGACCAAATAAGAAAGGATGCATTTAAAAAAAAACAAAAACCTCCCAATAAGATGGTTATTATTACTCATATCCTGACACAATCACACAAACTGTGAAAGGTAAAAAAATATTCACATGAAAAGTACAAAAGATACATTTTCTTCAAAATGTAAATTACAGATATTTAATTTTATAAAACCTCAAGCACGCTCCCGTTAGTTAACTGTTCCTTAGTCTTGGGCTGACTCACATTTGAGACTTTTTAACACACGTTTGTAAATGTTTAACAACATTCAGTTTCGACTTCTGTCCAATCTCACAATTTAAAAAGGGAGAAACAGCCATTCATGTTTTTGACATTAAGCTGATTCCACTACAAACACTCCAACAAGCCACCACACAGTGACCAGTGCCATTCCTCAGGCTGCTTTTCCTACAGCTGAGTCGTCAAAATAAACCAGAGAAAAGACACATATGGTTTCAAGGACAGCAAGTAGAGCGGCCAATCGTGTGTGAGATTCCTGGGTCATGTGTCGGCCACATCTAAAGTTAACATTTTATACAAAAAGACACTACAGTGTAAACACCAGTACATTATTTGTGATTGTATATGAAATCTCATAATGTCCAGGAAACATATCACATTCTTAAGGAAGCGGGAACATTTGTGAGCTGTGCTATAATGCTGTTATGGTCCTGTGAAAACCTCGTATCTCCAGCAGAGAGGATGTTCATGTGTGTAGATCGCTCATTAATTTAATAATAGCACAATTTCCTAACATGTTAAAGTCGATGTTATGAAATTAAATTTTAGGAAAGCTTAAAGAGATAGTTTGGATTTTTTTGAGGTGGGGATAGATGAGCTACTTATCCATCTTCAGTATATTTCCTACAGTAAATGGCAGTCAGTGCACCCTGAGTTTTTGAGAAGCAGGCTGGAGTACCGCCACAAAAGCTAAGCAATGTACTGTTGTGGTCGGGGTCTGCAGCAAAATATATTTTAGTCAGCTAAAAAATTTGTATCAGTTCAAGTATAACCTATATTTAGAATATTTTAACTGCTTTACCTTGCTGTCAGACAGCTCTTTCTGCTGGGAACTGAAGCTGTTCCATGCATCTATGCTCTCTTCAAAGCCACCAGACTCCATTGACAAAAACAGTAATTTTACCTCACAGAGCACAGGAGCTGCTGGTGTACCGCTGCCTCGACTGGTTAGTTTTTTTCGTGTTATTGTGTGACTTTGGTGAATCTGAGCTAACCTTTTAAAACACCAAAGTCGCACAATAACACAAACAAACTAACCAAGCGAGGCAGCAGTACACCAGCAGCTCCTGTGTTCAGCGAGGTAAAATTACTGTTTCTGTCAGTGAAGTCTGGTGGCTTTGAAGAGCATAGGTAAGTTTCACTTTCAGATCAGTTTTCAGCCATAAAGGGTTGTCTAATGGTAACGTAAAGCGGAGAAAATACTCTTAATACAGCACACACTTAAATTATTAGTAGTTTTTTAGGTGGCTAAAATACATTTTGCTGCTGCCCCCATCCACAGCAGTACATGACTTTGCTTTAGTGGCAGTACTCCTGTCTGCTTCTCCAAACTGGAGGCGTGCTGATTGCCATCTACTGTAGGTAATACACTGACTGCAGATAAGCACCTCATAGAGCCCCCACTTCAAAAAATCCCAACTATCCCAGTCAGGATGTTGCACTTTTAAATTTCCATTTACTTGTTAAAATTTTACATCCATTAATCTCTTTTAACCCTTTATTATGTGTCTGTGTTTTGGGTTTTCCCCTTTCTTTTTTTTCTGCATGCAGCTGATCCTCATCATTCCTCATCAGCGAGGGTTTAAATTAATGACGGAGGAGTAGTGCCAGTGCTGGCGGGTTAGAAGGCTGTGACAGTTGCGCGTCTCTAAGACAAAGGTAATAACTAAGAGTTTGGCTAGGTGTTTGTTGGCTGTGATTAATCTTTTCTTTGTGTGTCCCTGCTACAGGCGATCCAGTGTCCTTTAGGAGTTAGTTTTTCGTTGGTGGTCCTTTGTCCCGTTTTCGTTTTAAATAAACTTCCTTTAAACTGGCGATTTGTTTTGTTTGCCTTTTTCTTTTCTTTGAAAGTTCCCTCAATTTCACTGTGTTACTCCCCCTTCCCCCTAGACATCTGGTGGGAACGTAACATATTTGCGGGCTCGTCGGGGATCTTTCAAAAAATAGAATAAAAGAAAGGGGACCACACAAAAGGCGGGCCCAAAACACACAGGCACATAACACCCTTTCAAAATATTTCAGATGTAATGCAAAGATACATTTTAGTCAATCCACAGTCTGCTTTCATAGAGACATGAGATGTTCACCTGACAGCAACAATACACATGAAGGGTTTCATTCCAAAATAATATAATGCATATCTATTATATATAAACATGAAACAAAAACTGTTATATGAATCTTATCACTCAATAATAATTCAATTCTAAAGAATGTTAGTCTATGATAATTGAGGCTATTAAAATAAAATATTATCATGTTTTTTTTCTTTTAAATAAAAAAACATGTTATTTTTTAATGTAAGAAATTGTTATATAAAATCAGGTTTAATTCTTAAAGGTCCTTTTTCTGGAACAAAACTCTTCAAAACCCGTATGAGAACATGAAAATAGAAGACTGTTTACTCAAGACTTTCAGAGTAAAACGTGACGTGTTGATGGAGGGTTATGTACATTTTAACAACGAGGCCTGTCATGATAATTACGTGATTGACTTATTGAGGTCATGTCCATGTATCGTACGATATTTTTTATGTGTGTTTGTTTACCTGAGAATGTCACAAACAATTTTAACCAACATGATGCTACAATAAACAGCAGTGTTTGACAGTTTATTGCCTGTTAAGGAATGACTCTCTATAACTCTGTGCCAAATGTTTAATATTTATGCATACATTTATTTCAATTTCATTTATTATAGTGATTTTTTTTTTGTTAACCTGAGGGTGCATTTTATTATATATTGTTTTATTTTAATTGTTTTTTTAAAGGATTTTTTATTTATTGTTTGTTCACATTCCAAAGTCTGAATATTCTTAATATTAAAAGTTAATTGCTATTATATCATAATCATATCAGTGGCATAAAACTGTCTTAAAATACCACTACTATCATTTACTGCAATTATTTCTGGGATGATATATCCTCCACTACACTAGTTATCGTGACAGGCCTATCAACAACCCAGTTGAGACTTGTTTGGGGATTTATTACCCCAAACACTGAACCACATTCTGTGTACGACGAACTCCAAACCTCTGCAGGAGAAAACTATTCTCTCTTTTCAAAGCTGAGACAACATCAGTCGTTGGGACATGCGAGTTGGGAAAGCGGTGACTTTCCAACATGGACATGAGGGTCAGACAAAGGCTCCATTGACTCGGGTTTTGACCTCCCCCAGCCCCAACTCCAGTTAACGTGAAAAAAACGCTCTTCAAAAATAAAGGAAAAAAAAAAAAAAAGGCTGTTGATTATTAACTGGGATGCCAGTGTGTTCTCGCTGAGTGGAATTTGAGCCATGCATTGATTATCCAACCCGAGCAGAGCGAAGTTTTTGCCTCCTCAGATTCACATTCAGCTCCAGTGTCGAGTGCTCGCTTTTGCACAAACAGCAGAACTGCTATTTGTTCCATAAAGGGGAGCAAACATCTTTATATAGAAGTTTATATATATATATATATATATATATGCAAATTCTTCACTTGTTGTGGAATATACTCACTTATAGCTTGTAATGCTTTCTTACACAGTGAAAGGCCACCAAAACCAAAAGGCTCATTGTGATAACACAAGCATGGGGGACGTATGCAGTAACATGTAGTGCATGGTGCATAATTCAAAATGTGCATATTTTTCCCAAATTATATGCAAAATCATAAATCCCTGAAAAGTCGGCTCTAACTTGGTGACAAGTACACTTTGTCTCTACGACAAAAACATGATTTTTCAGCTTAAAAAGTCTTGCCTAGTACCTCGTATCCCCTCTGTCGTACCACAAAGTAGCTGCAGCCGAGACACTAACAACCACATACATCAGTGTGGCACAATGCCTCTGTCTTCTCCATACAGGATGCCTTTCTTTCAGGGAGCATGTTTACTGGCCAGATGGGCTGCAGGGCCTTCTCCGGCCAAAACAAAATGGCTTTGAGTGTGTTGAAGACCCCCATCAGGTCAGAGACAAAGTGACCAGAATACTAAACACCACCTTCAGTGCATATCATGGCTCACTTTGTCAAAGTGTTTTTTGCTTTTACACTTTTTTAGCTGGGCTGAGGAGCATATCGAGAAGGAACTGAGGGAAATACAAAAAAAAAAAAAAAAAAGCTTCACGTGTTGTTGAAACAACCAGACATTAAAACATGTTAAATGAACATTAAAAAAACCCTCAGCGTTCATTAAACCGATCAAATGTTGGATCCTGTGATGATGAGACCCTTCTCGTACCATGACAGGTTGTTGACAAACGTGAACTCCTCTGTTTATCAAGTACAGAGTTATATACAAAGGCTGAGTGAACTTCTTTTTTGGCACTTAACAGTCACACAGATTGCTGAGAGGAAGACAGGAATACAAATGATGCCACAGACACCAGATTAATGCTACACTGTGTTGAGCCATGGTGTGTCACAACTGGGTGATGCGGTGCTGGAAAACCTCGACCGCTTTGGATTCAGGTGCTTATCGAGAGAAGATTCAGCTCCGTATAAACGCACTTATCCCAAAATCAATCATACACCCAGCTCGTTTCTGTCACACAACTATTCATCTTCCCTTTCTCTCGCTCCTCGACTCACTCAGTAGAACGCAAGCTGTGACTCCTCTTGAGTTCATCACATTACTCCCTCTCCTCAAGTATATCCACTCCAGGTGTCCGCTAGTCCCAGATACTCTGGATTCTCTGCCGTGGGGGTTACAAACCCATTCACGTGCTTGGGCACTCCTCCGTCTCTCATCTCAGGACTGTCTGCAACCTCGGGTACAGCGTTAGCTTTGGCTACGAGGTCCAGGTAGTACGGGTTATCAAAGGCTGGAGAGGTGGCGGACACTGCACCCACGGGGACCAAGTAACCCGGGTTTTCCACACTGTGACCAGAGCTCAGGCCGTTAGGGAGGCGCCGGTCTACTCTGGCGCCTTTACGAGGCAAAGTGCTGGGCCGGTCTGGGATCCCCGGCCTGAGATCCTGAATCTCCTGGTTGACATACTCTAAATAGATGAAGAAAGAAAGAAAACATCAAACACTTTCTTCCCTTCATGTTATTTTTTAAAGCCCACAGTGGACGCATCTCCCACTCACCTGGCAAGGGATGATTATGATTATACCCATGAGTCCGTCTGGGCAGTGAGTGATGAAGGAGAGGAGGATGATGGAAGCCATTTGGCCCATCTGTCTCCAAGTCGCCCTGGCTCCCGTTGGAGTATGTGGGGTCTTTGCTGTAGCGTCCGGGGCTGGCCGGGGGCAGCGTGGGGTCATCTGGAGGCCCATCCAGGAAGACAGAGTCAGACTGGCCCCCGGCCGAGGTGCTGCGAGCCAGCGTTGGGTACTGAGGAATCCATATGCCGTTGGAGGTGCTGGCTCCTAAAGGTAAGGTAGGGTACTGGCTGCGGCCAAGAGTGCTCAGGGAGGAGTACATGCTGCGAGGGCCGCCGGCGACAGAGGGCTCCACATTTAAGCCCTGATCTCTGCTCTGCTGGAGAGAGGAGAAACAGATGATATATGAAAGACTGACGAAAAGATGAATTTGTTAAAGGTTCCCAGGTCTCCATGGCTGTGTAAATTAAAGGGTCACCTTGTTACTCTTCAACCTCAACCCAATTTTCCATGTTTTTGTGTCTAAGTGACTAAGGGGAGCAACAATTTTTGAAACTGGTCCAGTGTTGAGCGATAGTGCTGCAGCCAACAGCAGTAAAACCAGCTGCAATATAACCACTTGGGGCATTTGTGCACTGACAAGTTTATGTCCACTTCAAGTGTTTGTTTTTGCCACTGCAAGGCTGCAAGTGTCTGACAACATTATGGCAAGAATCCCTGCAGAGGCAGACTTTTTGTGTTAAAGAGTGAGATCCTTTTCGCTTACCAGAAACAGTCCCAAAATTGCTGTCGCCAAAGCAACCAGACTATTTAAATAAACGATGATTTTATAATTCTAAAAAACACTTTATCTTACATTAACAGAAATAAAATAAAACTCAAAAAAGCTGTCTTGGTTCATCTTTCCTCTGCTACAACAATCATCTACATTGATTCAGTTGAAATGAACATTTAATTTGGCAGCTAGATGCAAACATATGCAGTCTCTATACAGGCTAAAATCACTGTTTATTCAAATGGAGTCTGGTAGGTTTGGCCGTAGTGATTATGCAGCTCTTTCTGGTTAAAATAAACAGATCTTACACTTTAAGAAAAAGGTCTGTCTCTGTAGGGATCCTTTCCATGAGGTTGCCAGACACTTCAGACAAATCTAAACCTGTCAGTGGCAAAAACAAGCACTTTTATTGGACGTAAATTGCATGGTTACATTGCAGCCTGTTTCACAGCTGCTGGCTGCAGCGCTCTCGCTCAATACTGGACCAATTTCAAATCCTGTTGTTCCCATTAGTCACTTACAGCCAAAATACATGGGACACGGATGGGTTGCAACACATCTGCCACAACATTCTGCAGCAGAGTGCATCCATTAGAATCGTCTGCAGCTGCTACACTGACCATGGAGGTAGTGCTTACCAGCGCCATCACCCTGCGGCTCTTTTATATGCTGCTGGTCTATTTTTTTTTTTCTGTGCCCAACTCTGCGGCCCTCCAACAGGTAAAACTACATAGAACTGTGTAAAAAACAGGTACAATCTGTTTAATATGATAAAACTAGAGCTGATGCAAAGCAGCAGAGCAACCTTGTGGGTGTTTTAACATTTCACACTAAAATAAATTAATCAAATCAATGCATCCTCTTGTTAAAACAATCCAGGTAATTGATTCAGCATCAGTTAATGTAGCCTATATGCTTCCAAATGCTCCATAACCAACTGCATTATCACCTGGCAAAACTCAATACACACAAAGTTACTCTTCAAGGAGAAGAAGAAACATAACCCCTCCTCACTGACCCTGTATGACTGGTGTCTGGATGGCCCGTTGGCTTGGGCCCCGTCTCCCTGAGTCCTGGGGAAGAGGTTTGGCTGAGGCACCAGATACTCCTCAGCATCCAGCAGCTCCCTCATGTTGTTTCCTTCCTCCTCCAGAAGCATTCGGAAGAACTGGCTGTCCACTGGGCTGGACATGCTCATCTGCTCGTCGTTCTGCGAGACAGAGAAAGAGAAAGAACAACACTTGAACACCATGCTGGCATATTTACAGTAATGTTTGCACTAGGAATGCACTGAGAGATAAACTGAAATAAAAAAACAACAGCAGTTATAGACTAATAACTACTATGTATGCGACATGATGAGCACGAGCATTACGTGATAAGGACACTGTGAGCACAGTCACAAAAAGTAAAACATTGGTGACATGAAAAACGTTCACACACCTGAATGACTACATAGCGAGGTGGATCTCTGGCCATCGTGCTAAAATCATTCACCAGATCTCTGAACCTCGGCCTGCTGTCTGGGTCAATCATCCAACCTGCAACACAAACATAAAAATCAAGATGTCAATTAATCATCTGCAAAGATAACTACCAACATGCAACTCTGTTTGGGACAATGACAACTACCCAAAACATAATGTTGTAACAAACACATATTAAACTTTGAGACACAGAATCTTAAAAAGAAGGGGGGAAAAGACAGAAAAGAGGGGTATTGAGGTTATGATAGCTTAAAATTGTATCTGTACTGCCAAGACTACACTGTTTTTATTTTCTTGGATTACTTGTAAACATTGGCAGTGTCTTGATTGTATGCAATACCTCTGAAAATAAAAAGAAAACTGCAAAAAAACAACCTTGAGACACAAACATAACATAAAGTTAACTACTGACATTTGACCATAATCATGTAGACGTCGATGGTGCAGATGAGCGGCTGGGGAAGTCGCTCTCCTCCTTCTAAAACATCTGGGATTTCTCTGGCTGGGATCATGTCGTAGGGTTTAGCACCAAACGTCATCAGCTCCCAGACCGTCACACCTGGGAAGGAAATGTACCATTACAACAGCACTGTGACTAGAATAAAACACCTACCAAAATGACAGTCAACAAGAACAGGACATCACACATCCACTCAATCACAACCTCACCCCACTGCCCTCTGAGCGCAGGGTGCAGAAGGGCTCACTTTGGGAAGAGCCTGATCCCTGCAGCCACATTGTACATATATAGCATATGATGTCGTCCATGTTGTTACTGTGTGCTGTGTGTTTGCCGTTGTCTGATAAGATACAGTGCTGGGAAAAGAATTTCCCCTTGGGGACAATAAAGTAAACTAAACTCTCATACTGCCAGTTACATTTAACCACCTGAATATAATGCATTAGTATGTAAATACAAGCACATCAACAACTTTTCTAAAGCATTGCAATTAATACTATGAACTGCTATCGTTCCAAAATTAAGTATCTGCTACTAAAACTTTGTCCCAAATATTACTTATCAAAGAAAGTGAGTTTTTACAAATATAAATAAAGTGCAAACAGCTTATGGTGATCACGTCTTTCTGGGTTAAACTGATCACTGTAAGCACATGGTTAATATAACCGATTTTTTTTTCTTTTTCTTTATTTGTCATGCAGATTACCATCTAATAACATCTGTACATTTAAGACAGAAATATAAAGTAATGAAACAGACAGCTCCGATACCAATATCGATACACTTGATGAGGGCTGCTTCAACGACAGCTGCTTTCCCACATTTGTTTTCTGTTTCCTTCAGCAGCCATGACAGTGTCTCATTGTTTCAGCAGGCTACACACAGTAGCCTGAGGAACACTAGGTTTCACTGCAGCATCTTATTAACTAATTTTTTGCCCGTTTATCATGAGCGTTCAGGAGACAATGTTTTTCATTGAGAGAAAATTACTTTCTTTTTTTTCATCATGATTTTAATTTGTACGCAGCACGAGCCTCAGGTAGCCAGCTGAAAGCAGACGTGTTACCAAGAGGCAGAGTTGTATGGAAGTAAAGTTAGCACAATTCTTTATTACACACTGCTTCCTCTAATCAGTTGACTATGGGTGTTCACTCTTCTGTTATCCAATCAGTCATGATGTCTCTCAGCCAATCAGGATGCCACTGCAAAATTTTAAATCTGCTCTCTTTTCTGCTGCTGTCAGCTGTCATTTTAGGCATTAAAAAAAAGCCTCTACGTTTTTTTTTGTTTTTTTTTAATGTTATGTCTTATATCATTTCCAGCAATGAGTGATACTGACCGTAGCTCCAGACGTCACTCTGATGAGTGAACTTTCTGTGCAGAATAGACTCCAAAGCCATCCATTTAATTGGCACCTAGAAACACAGTTACAGAACATCAGTTAAAATAATATGATGATAAATGTGAACATTCCCAACGCAGATGCTCCTACAGTCACAGCTCCCTCTTACCTTCCCTCCATCAGCGTGATATTCAGTCTCGTCTATATCGAGCAGACGGGCCAGACCAAAATCAGTGATCTTCACATGATTCGGGTTTTTGACCAGAACATTGCGGGCAGCCAAATCTCTGTGAACCAGCCGGACCTCCTCTAAATAACTCATCCCCTACACACACACACACACGCACACACACACAAACACACACACAGATCCATCACCCACAAATCCATGTCTTCACAATTACACAAACTGATACCACATCAGATTTGAAAGGAAAAATAAGACGATAGAGAAATCAACAGCGACATTCAGACACTGCTGTTTGGCTTACAACATACACATTTCCTCCTACTAAAACAAGCAGTAGTGCAAGTATGTGCATGGAAATCAACGCACCTTGGCGATCTGGACACACCAGTTGAGGAGGAACTGGGAGCCGATGCGGTCCTTGTTCTCCCTGACATAGTCGAGAAGGCAGCCGTACGGCATCAGCTGAGTGACCAGCTGCACTGTGGAGGTCAGACAAATCCCGAGCAGCCGGCAGACGTAGGGGCTGGCCACACCTGCCATCACATAGGCCTCCTGAGGAAGGCAGAGGAAAGAGGGTTGAGAACTGTATTTATGTAAACTGTTACTGTGTGTATCTGAGTTGTACTCACATCAAGGATCTCTTTGTTGGCCTTTGGCGAGGTGTTCTCTCGTAACACCTTGATGGCCACTGGTATTTTCACATTTTCCCCATCAGGAGCCCACACTCCCTGAAATAAAATCAGCAAAAACCATTCAAAACTCACCAACAATGTGAAGCTAAATCTAAAATACTGCTAAAGGTATTATGGTATTTTTCAACTTGGACTCTTTTGTCTCATGATTTTTGGTCTAAGTGACTAACGGAGACAAGAACTTTTGAAACTGGTGCAGTATTGAGCGAGAGCACTGCAGCAGCATAACCACTCTGTACATCATCAATTTACGTCCACTGAAAGTGTTTGTTTTTGCCACTGACAGGTCAGGTTGTTGTTACAAGTGTCTGACAACATCATGAAAAGGATCATTACATCGACAGACATTTTGTTTAACCAGAAACAGCCCTTAAACAGTACTTTTAGCATGTATAGAGCCAGCATACTTTCACGTCTAACTGGGTGAATTAAGGGTTTATTTAGAACAAAACAGAGTTGATGATTGTTGGAACAGTAGGGAGACGAACCAAGAAGGCTTTTGTGCATTTTATTTTCTCTGAGTCTGCTAGCTTTGGCAATGGCGATTTCATGGCTGTTTCTGGTTAAACAAAAAGGACTTAACACTTTAAGAAAAAGTTCTATCTCCGTAAGGATCCTTTTCACAACGTTGTCAGACACTTCGAGCCTGTCAGTGAAAAAAACAAGCACTTTTCGTGGATGTAAATCGACAGTGCACAAATCCCCTGAGTGGATACATTTCAGGATCAGACTGGACATGTAACCATTTAAAAGATGGATGAGTAGCCTCCGTGCACATTATATTGTGATATTTACAGTATATGACACTTAATACAGCCAACTATTAGCAATGGTCATTTACCAGAGACTTTCAGCTCCCTGGTGATCTCCCCCCAGCTAGCTGCCACATTTAGGTTTTTGTAGTGAAATTCAGAAGTATCGTAAAGGGGATTCCTCATGTCAACATCATGAATCTGCTGTTCTTTGCCCATTGCTGCACTTTCAAGGCCAGTGACAGGAATAAATAGAGACAGGGCATCTGGTAAAAGTTCAGCTCCCAACAGTGCATACACCTCTTTTATCAGCTTTGAATCCAAAATGTTTCAATACTGGCACAGATTTAGTTTTCTTCTGCCATGTCCCCTTGTCACCCCCAAAAAGACATGACCTTTGGTAAACAAACTAGGGCTGTCAAACGCTGTATCCGGATACAATACTAATTTACAAAAGTATCGATACTAACAGTGCACGCCACCTCAGCGCCTGTTGGGTGCGCGCGACGGGTCCGACGGACACGCGCTGTGCAGGCAGCGTCTGGCAGGCACAGAGCCCTCGCTGCAACCCGGCTTGTTGCACACATTTCTGTTGCTGTAATATGGCCAGAGCGGCTGCAGGAGGATCAGAGCAGCCAGTTTTGGTCGAAAATGATAAAGGAAAAAGCGCTCTTTGGAAATATTTAGTGAAGTGAACAAATCAAACCAGTTAAAGCTCGTACACTGGACCAGGCCACATAAAAACCAGACATCTACCCAACTCTGGTCCAGATTGAAAAAAAAAACTGACACAAAAAAAAATGGCACACCTACCTTGTAAACAGTCCCAAAGGCCCCTGCACCCAGCACCCTGAGTTTTTTAAGCTCAGTCTCCTTCAGGATACGCATCTGAGCCTGATTGGGTGACGCGCCGCTGGGTGTTAGAGGCTCCACCAGCTGCACATATGAAATAAGCAGAAAGCAGATTCCTTCATTACACACGACAACACCACCCAAGGGAAACCTAAGAACTAGATTTTGACCTGTTTTTTTAACTTAAAACAATTAATGTCATTTATGTTTAGCATTAAACTTCTAGCAAATGAACTCCCATCTGTTTGAACAACACATACGTCTGTCTACAAAACAAGAGAAATGATAAAACATCAGTACTTGTAACCAGTTGCCCACCTCATGTTCTTGCAGGATCCTCCTCATCGTCTCCTTCCTCTTCAGCTTCTTCTGCCTCCTCAGGTAGAAGATCAGCAGAGCCAGCAGGATGAAGAAGAGCACCACCCCACCCACTGCAGCTGCGATGGTTGTACCCGGTCTACACAGAGACAAACAATTAAACACAGCTCCTCTTCCTCAGAGAAGCACTGAGAAAATCCACCACCACACCATCTGAGTAAGTGATCAGTTGGAGCAGCTCACCCTGTCCTGGTGTCGATGGGGCAGCCTCTGTCGTCCATCACGGTGCAGCTGAAACACAGAAGCTCCGGGTGTGAAATCACTCTCATTGTGTGTGTAGCATGTGTGTGATTGTGTTTGTGACGCGTGTGCACTCACGACAGCGTGCAGTTGGTGTGGCAGGGCAGACAGTGTCCTGTGGCGTTGCTGTACTTCCATACGGTCTGCTGATCCTCCTTGACACCGCTGGGACAATGATCCACACAGAACTCACCATCCTGGAAGTTTCGACACTCTGAACAGTGTTCTGCACCCTGAAGACACACACAGAGAAATAGCTAAATTAAATCAATTTATACATAAACAATTTGCACACATACGAACAGGTATAACAGGGTGGATTTATTCATATTATTTTTTTGGCATATTTTGATTTTCTTTGGTAGTTCCCTTCCCAGGTCGTCAAACACCTACGATCTTGGGTTGGTAGTTGGACCAAACCACCAATTCAAAGTGTCTGTATTTGATGACGCACTGAACCTTTAATTTCCATCGAAGTGCAAAAGTTTCTGCTCCTGTGCTGCTTTGTGATATATCATTAAATGTTTAGGAATCATATTTCACTGTATACATTTATATCTACCAAAACTGCAGCAAAAATTCAGATGATTGTTTCTCTAGAGCTGCAACTAATGATTATTTTTGATTGTGCTGGTATCAGAGATTGTGAAATGGGGTTTATTTATCAGGGACAAGATTTACAAAGTTCAGAATACGTATCACAATACAAACATTAGTGAAGGCCACTGACTCAAAGTCCCAGTCTCAATTAACATCTGCACACATAAACGCCTCCTCATGCTTATTGGGTCAACAAATACAAACAAAGTGACAAAAACTCAAACTGAAGACATTTCCTTTGTATTTTTATTCTATTTTAATTAATTTTGTGCACAATATTGATTCAGTTTTTGTTTTTAGTTTAATTTTAGTCAACTGTAATAAATATAGATAGTATTTTTTTTTAATTATTAATGTAGTCATTGTTTAATCAGTAATCTGTATTTATCAACCGATGGAAAATGATCGTTTATTCAAGGAAAAACTGACTGAGCATTAAGCTCTTTTACAGCAATGCCCTGAGTTCACATTCAATGGGCTGGAAGGATACAAATATATAATACTAATCGCAATAAAGTGATGAATAAAGTCCAAAAAAATAAATAAGTAGCAGCAATATCTATCAAGAGTTATAAACAGTAGTAATAACAGTAAAAAGACAAAAAAGTTAAATAATAAGAATAGAGTCTGCCGTAAAGGACAGAAACATAACAACAACAATAATCAGTAGCCGTGTTCTCTGCTGGGTCGCACGAATGAGCAGTTGTGGTCAACTTGTAAATAAAAACGCACTGTTTGAACTGAATAAAATCAGGTGACGTTTACCAGGTTACTTTGACATTGTGTTCTGGCAATGATTAAACACATCTGGATAAGACATCTGTGTGGATGTCTTGTCCAGTTGCATCCTGAAAAAATAATGTACTAGTTTTATAAGCCCAAAAGGCTGATTTACTTTAATGTCAGATATCTTAAAGGCTGAGAAGCTGAGACATTTTCAGATGTTATTTTGGTATGTAAGGACTATAAGCTGCAGGAACATCTTACCGGTCCATGACAGGAGGCAGAGCCGTTGATAGCTCGACACTCTGCGTGACAGGCAACACACAAAGATCCATCTGTGTATTCACGGACAGACCTGCAATATAAGCACAGATGGGATTTAACAGAACGTCCCATAACACAGTCGGGCATTTGTTGGATGCTTTTATCTGAAGCACCTGACACCGTCGTAAGGACATATACATTTTTAGAAAGGGGGGCCCCAGCTTCAAATAACTGCCGATGTTAGCCTCGCCAGACGACCTGCACAGGATAACGTCTTCTCTGAACCACAAAGGGCTGGACAACAATGTGTATTATCGTTTAACAACTTTGAGTGTCATCATATTGTGATCACATCATGAGATTCGTTTGTTAAAGACATGGTTCAACATTTTAGAAAATGCACCTGTTGGCTTTCTTGCTGAGAGACAACATTAGCTTACAAATAGTCCTGCAGTTAACCCCATATAGCGCCACAAAGTGTCATTTTTACACTTTGTTTTTTGGGCATATTCATAGAACAAGATGTAAGTATTAGTAAGTGAGCTTCAGAGGTGGACAGATGGATTCTGTAACCTTTGGATCGAGCGAGGCTAGCTGTTTTCCCATTTCCAGCCTTTATGTTAAGCTAAGCTAACTGACCGCTGATTATTGCTTCCTATTTACCACACAGACATGAGAGTGGTATCGATCTTCTCATCTAATTCACAGATAGAAAGCAGATAAGCATATTTCAGTATTTCAACATTTGCCACATTTGAATAAATATAAATATTGTGATACTGATTTTAGATACATAGCTCAGTCTTTAGACCCAGATAACATGGGCAACAAACATATTTTTAGACTGAGAGAGAACAACTTGTTTCATTGTCCAAGTACAAGTAATCAAACATAATCTAAGAAGAGTTCAAACAAATATAAAAAAGTGTTGAGTCATGTTTTTTTTGTGCTGCGTGACTTCATCAGATACTTTGGCTTTTGAACTGAAACTAACAATTCAAAAATAGATCTCTACAAATTGTTTTCACATCTGTGTTATCTTGTAAATATTCCACTTGCATACATGTAAATTATACAAAACATCATTTACTGTTCAAAGATACTAGGTGTTGAGTTCCCAGTGTTATCACACGTATTTGCTTTGTCATTGATCTATAGTTGCTTTTGGGCACAATTAAAGTTAAAAGCTTTCCGATGGATTTATTGTGACGACTCTGCCATCTGGCACAAACTGCCAATCCAGTCAACCCCAACGTAAATCCACCTGTTCACATTCTTTACTTTAGGCTAATACATGATTCGTTGTTTTGTACTGTTTAACTTGTTTGGGAATTATGACACACAGCTTGCTGTATTATTTGGACCATTATCACTTGGCTTTTTATTGATTTAGTGCAGCCACACCCACACAAACTCACACACACACACACACACACACACACACACACACACACAAACGTTCTTACCCCTGATAGATGTCACACTGCTCTACACACTCAGTGCCGCGTTGGAAAGCCGTGCAGGACACACACTGGCTGGGCCCTGGGCCCCAGCAGCCCCCCTCACACAGTGGGTGACACACACGCCCCTCATCCTCTGAACACACATACAGAGAAAAAAGAGCATGATGCACACTGTACTTTCTGTTGGCCTCACTTCCTCACTGTCACCGCAACAACATACATGAATGCTGATTAAAATGCAAATCATAAAAGTGTATTCAATGCAGCTGGATTTTCATCTGGCTGAAAGTTTTAACTTGGATTAAGTGCCTGATCAAAGTGAAACCCACAGTAACTTTAATGGAACTTGGTGCTACATTAGTGTGTTCACCCACCACAGCGCTGGGCGTCCTGGTTCTGGCTGACGATGCGATGGGGTCCCTGGGTGGGATGGAGGAGATTGTCCCAAGGCAGAGAATTGGTGTAGCACAGCTGGGAGTTGTTATGCAACAGGACCAAACCTCCACTGACGCTGCGCAGTGAACGCAACCCAAGAGACCGGATGTGTAGATTCTGGATGGCCAGTGAAAACACACCCCTGAACAGAAGGAGACGTAAGTGAAATCAACTGTCACAATATTACATGATGCATACGGATATGTTGAACACATAAAACCAAACATGACTTAAATCCAGCTTTTATGGGTGTAAGAATGATTTTCTTTTGTTTTCAAATTTGGTTAAAAATTAGGGGTGAATTCAATGGCATACATGCTCAGGTTCAACATCTTTTGTACATCATGGTGACACCACTGGAGTCCTTAGGTCCCCTAGTTGTATATAAAACCAGTATGATCACTCTAGTTTTAAAACTCAGCCTGCTTTAGCCTCTTAAAGACAGAAATGTCAGCCTGGATCGCAGACAGCCCCGTGGGTCTCAGAGGGTTAACTCTGTGCTCTTGTTTGCAAAATTACAACAAGTAGCTAAAACTAGAACCTGAGATTCTCTCCTGATATAATTTAATTTGCGAGCAAGTGTGAAAATAAGATATTTTGTGTTTCAGGTAATCTCTCTATATTCTATGAACGTGAATCAAAGAGAAACAACGAGACTGATCTAATAGCCCAAACAACAGCCTATATTTGTTAGACGTTATAAAACAGACAAGCAGATTTCCCACTTATCACTATGACCCAGTTTGAGCATGCCCCACTAGATAGTGTCCTAGTGTCCCGTAGATGTTTACTGTTATCCTGGCTGGCATGTGCTGCAGGTTAATGCAGCTGTGCTGGCTAATAATTAGCCTTTATGACACTGAAAGTGAACAAACTGCCTCGACGGAACCAGAGACACGTAGTCAGAAAAAAAAAAACAGAGCACAAACAAAGACACAATGGGTCTCATTCATGAAACGTGAGCAGAAGGAATTTGTGTGTAAACTGTTCGCATTCATCAATATTTTAGTAGCTCCGATCTTTTCGTAGCTACTAACAAAATCTACTCCTGCTCCTGACCAGTCGTAGTGCTTGTGTAAATTTAGTAAAGCACATAAATATTGCTTGTCACTATTGGAAATTACAATTTTAATTCATATTGCGCTCTGTTATGTACACAATACACAGATGCCTTTGAAACACGTAATCTAAACATGACAAAAATATTAAAAATATAACACATTTAGTTAAATTAGTTGGCAATTAGCAGGTTTAAGATCCAGATTAGGTTCATGATTGTGAATTATCTATGTAAATCGACTCAACAGGAGTTTAGCAATGCACTGCTGTGGAGCAGGCCAGCAGCAAAACATACTTTAGCCACCCAAAAAAGTCAATCTACTGCTGCCTTGTAATGTCAATTTGTTTGTGTTATTGTGCAACTTTGGAGTTTAGCTTGGATTCATCGCAAGTTAGACATGACACAAACTAACTAACCGCCTGACGCCACAGTAGACCAGCAATTTAAATGTTCTGCAAGGTAAAATTACTATCTTTGTCAAAGGAGTCTGGCTGCTTTGAAGAGAGGATAGATAACGCTTATGTTCCCAGTCAGAAAGGACTGTAGTAAAGTAAATAAAGCAGTAAAAATATTCTACATATAGCGTACACTTGAACTGATTTATTTAGGTGGCTAAAATATATTTTGCTGCAGCCCCTGTCGACAGCAGTTCACTGCTTAGCTTCTGTGGCGGTACTCCTGCCTGCTACTCCAAACTATGGAGTTGACCGCCATCTATTGTAGTTTATACACCAAACTATTCTTTTAAGTTAAAGACCTATGTGTTTGTTTGTAAAATAAAATTCTTAGTTTCTTTTTTCTACATTCATCTCACTTACACTTAATGTCAGAGTAACTGAGTAATTAAATTATTACTTATCTATTTCCATTTTTCAACATGTACGTTCATAGTGCTTCCTTATACGAGGTGAAAAACATGAGCAACATGAGCGGTCATTGTTTGCTTCCAGTTTGTTTGTAGTTTATTGATAACATAATCAATAAAAGGATTTGTATTAAAAAGAAAAATGTATTTTATATCATATGTGCAAGCAACTAAAATAACATTGGTAAAAAACTGCGTAGAGGAAATAAAGACAGACATGTCAGTCAGTTTTAAAGTCTTACTTGTAGAGCATCCTGCCTCTGATCACCTTCAGGTTCTCAAACACACTCAGGTTAGTCCACTCTTCTGGCCAGGCATCAATGTACAAATAACCTGCAGAGCAAAACCAAACAAAGATGCTAAAGGACTAACAGAGGAGACACAGTATGCTCTGTACACAAAAACCTCTATGTGGTTATATCTGGATAATTATTACATTTGCAACAGTTTTGAATTCAACAAATTCTTCCTCACTGTTCTCCTCAGTGTTCGGTACCTGTAATCTCCTCCAGATTCTTGAAGGAGCTCAGCTGCTCCAGGGTCAGGCCTGATGTGTTACTCGCAGGGTCCCTAAACAATAACAGCATAATATGAAACCAACAGCAATTTAACATACATTATTTCTAGTTGATCTTCTTATAAAATCTATATTGACTGATCAAAGCTCCAGTGATGCAGGTTATCTCAGACTTGTGTTTACATTTCACACTTTCACTATGAACAATTGGCGCACGCAAGATGATTTATCAGGCATCTCAGCTTCAGTCGGTGTCACGTAAGCCGATCCGCCAATCCTTTATTTAACATCCATAGAGTGACTGGTGAAGCAGCTGACTAGTTTGACATATACTGTATATGTTATCACTGTATACACTTTCTACTCTTTACTCTTGAGCATAGAAATGTCTCTACTGCGTTTGCATTAGATTCCATTTAAATTAAATAACCCCAATGTAGAGAAAAGCCACAAAAGCACTTCTTTTTCTTTTTGTTGACACAAAGATACTGTAAAAGTGAAAACATTCAAGTCTGGGTTTGAAGTACATTTGAGTGCAGTGATCTAAAGAGTTTGGCCCGGGTGGCGACTTTTCCTCTTGACTTGCACAAAGCACCTTCTACAAAAGTTGCTGTAAACTCAAATATCTGAAGAGCTGAACGGAAGGGATGTGGCTCTGTGGCAGTATAAAGTCTCGGGCATTAAGCTGCCATTTGTGGTTACTGAAGTAAAGTTTAAATGGCGTGTGTCTCTTACCTTACAAAGCTCTGAGGGAGAAAGGCCAGACTGCCAAAAATCTTCTTACACTTGTTGAACTTCTCCACATTGGAAGATGTTACCATGGTGACGCCATGGTTTTCCATGACGCCGAGGTTGTCCATGCCCAGACCATAACACACTGTAATACAAACCATGACAACGGATTTTAACTAATTTATCTTGCATCCAAAAGTTAAACTGAACTTACCAACAATGTTCAATATAACAGAAAAAGAATGATCAACAACCCTCCATATAAACCAGGATATCATCAGCATACAGTAAAATATAGTGTGTAGTATCGCATTAAAAATCAAGGGTAAAAGGTGATTGACAAATTGTTTGAGGTAGTGGTTTGTCAATCTAGCTCACCAACCATTAGATCTCTCTCTCCTCCTGCGATCACTTTTACCCTTTGAAACCTGAGCAAATTGGTTTGATGTCTTTTAAAAACATGGGGAGAAGGCAATGAGCAACGAAAGAGGACATGATCCAAGAAATTAGAAGAAAATAATAAAATTAAAAAAAGAGGAAGAGAAGGAAAGTTAAAAGCAAACAAATAAATGACCTGGAAATAGTAATAAATAATTATAATAATTCTGTAACATAATTTTAAAATTGAATAATTATAATTATCATAACTATAAATATAGTTTTCCTTGTCTTTATTTTTTCAGATTTTTTGTTTTACAATTTTCAAAATCTTTTTTTTTGTTTTGCAATTTGTGGGACAATTCTTACCAAGTTGCTCATTGCCTTTTTTTCCTATGTCAAAGGGTTAAACAAATAATAATCCAGCCAGATCATCAAACAAGATGGTATTTCTTTATAAAGAATTATAATATGTGTTTGAAATCATGGATGCATTGGTCTAGTGTACAATTTGAGCATCAACTGCATGTGCTGTTTATAATAAATACAAACTGTCCCAGATAAATAATAACTTATCTTGGTATTGAAATTGTTGTTGTATGCTGTAAAGCCCTCTGAGGCAAGTTGTGATTTGTGATATTAGGCTTTATAAATGAAATTGAATTGAATTGCTTTAGAAAAGAAAAGAAAAACTGTCATGATCAACCAGAAGCACAAGTCACCTTCAACAGCATAATTACAGTAATTTCTGTTTTAGTGAGACTAGTTAGAAACCCTTAAAGGAATGCGAACAGTATTAACTCTGTTATTAAAAGGCTCAGCCAAAATTGAAGTCCTGGCACTGTGCCTGCTTTTTACAAAGCTTAACTTATCCAAGTTATCTAATTGTCCTGATTCAGGTGTAACAACAACAAGTTACGGCAGAAACAGGTTGGATCACTTTGCATCGTCAGCACACGTGGCATCAGAACATCAGTACATGCAGCACTAATCATAATCACCTGTACTGAAGCACCGTGTCATGCATGTATAGAATGCATGACTTAAATTACTCCACACCATTATGTATAAATGTTAGGTGTAACATTTGAGCCACATAGTGTGAAATTGTTTTTCCCCTGTTGGAGGTCTGGATAGCTACTGTTTACACTCAGTAGCCACTTTATTACGTACACCTTTCTAATATTGGCTATGATCCATTTTTGCCACCAGAAAGGAAACACTGCTTACAGACGTGATGGCATCAAGCAGTTGCTGCAGATTTCTCGGCAGCTCTATGGGATTGAGATTGGACCACAGTGAAGTCATTGTCATGTTTGTGGAACCAGTTTGAGATGACATGTGCTTTGCGACATGGTGCATTACACTGCTGAAGTAGGTGCACAGGTGAACTTAAAAAAGAGGCCACAAAGTGTATGGAAACACTGTATCTTGCCCAAATGTAAATTTACCGACAAAACACAATGACTCCCACCTTTGGGACAGTCTCCTTCGCACTTTTCACATTTCTGCGTCTCGTTTCCATCAGGGCTGCTGATGACAACTTCCTGGTTGGCTCCGGGACAAACCAAAGTACAAGCCACTTCCATAGCCAGATAGTTATCTACAGACAAAAGGAAGAGGGGAGACAAAGTGTTCAGAGGGCGTCTTTGCAGCAAGAAGAAAATGAATCATGTATGATGAAATGGGAAGCTGGTAGCCTAAAGCATCAGAGTAGCAGGAATGTGATTGTCACATTGCCAGGAGTGAATCCCTGGAGTGTGGAAATTTTGGCAAGGAAAGCGAATAGATAATCTTTTCTCCTCCTTTTCCCGTCAGCATCTCCTAACATCAAGGCGCCCTGCAGCAAGACACTTATTCATCAGGTGCACCAGCAGAGCTGCACAGTCAATTACTGAGCACCGTGTTTTAGCTTTCATGGATAAACTTCAAAATAAGTTCTCACAAGGACATGTCTTGACGCAGGTGGCACCAAAGTTAAACTTCTTGTTTGGGTTGGATTTGGTCTGGAAGGTGACAGTGTCGTAGATAGTGGGAGGAGGACAGCTCTCCTTACACACACCGCTGTCATTGAAGTGGCGGCAAGCCTGGAGAGAAGAAAAATGAGGAAACACGTTACTCCAGAAATGACAAAAGAGTGTCGAACAACACTTTGAGATTACATCGAACAAACAAATGTCTGATAATACATGTGCGTGTGTGTGTGTGTGTGTGTGTGTGTGTAATTTACCAGACAGTCTGAGTCTTTGGGTCCTGTGCATCCAGCAGCACACTGCATGTGACAGCAGTCACTGGGAAGGGGACCTTTACACCGCTGACAGCCAGATGCACATTTAATACGGGTCACTTGAAACAAAAATGAAAAGTTAAAGTTTTCAGCTGTACTTCACCTGCTCTGGACTTGTTCCAGTGAAAACCAAATAGGAGGTCTGTAATTGTTCACGCATTCGTAAAAAATTGTCACCGTACGGGGTCACAGTCCAGACACAGGCAGAATTTTGTACTTGTGTTCAATATTGTTGATATTAAACCATGTGTTATGTGTGCTGTGAATCAATCAAACTTTACAGCGCTTTGCAGCACCTCAACACAGTGTCACAGAAACCCCGCTGCCAACTAGCGCTCTGGTGGTGTAATATCAGAGCAATACAGACACATCACTGCACAAGTGTAAATGTGGCAGAGTCCACATTCATAGGTTAAGGCATAGGGTCCGCATAGAACCTACCCACAACTATAAATCAGTCTTAGTCACACTATGGTGAAAGCAAACAAAAAGGGCAGAGCTGGAGGACCCACTTGTGGTTTCCCGGTAAGCTACAACAGCAACAGAAAGGTGTGTATAAGACGAGGACGGTGAGTTGGCCTTGCTCAACCGTTGTGAGATATGTGAATGGAAACACATTGAACATGCAAATGCACACTCAACAACATCACCCAGATGTGCTGATCACCAAGATGATGGATGTTGTGTTTTCAAGCCGTCCCTCTCCCCAGCAACTTTTTGCTCGGCCTGCTGCCCTCGCGACCCAGCTTCGGATAAGCGGTTGAAAATGGATGGATAGATTTTGTATTTTCAGTTTCATAGCATAAGAGATGATTTCACTTTTATAGCCTGTTGTGACCTGCTGCCTTTTGGGAAAGTACTTGTTCAGTATTCGTACAGAAGAGTTAAAATGTTCCTTATTTTTATAATGAAAATATTTTACCAGTGGGCAAAAAGTTACCTCAGTCCCCAGCAAGAGGATGTTGTCTATGTCTTTTGTCTTTGACAGTTACACTACTCTGTGCTCAAATAAATTAAAAGAACTGCAGGGATTCCCACACATTCACAATCAAACACCTGCTGCCACAAATAGATTGTCTATTTTTGGAGCTGGACCATTCTTTAAGAGCGCTGTTAAAATACATATACACTGTTCAGTTATTTATAGTACCACACTGTCAGAGCGCAGCGCCCACTCTTGGCACAGATGGAGCAGAAAAACGTCAGGCGCATTGAAAATTAAACTTAATCGTTCATTCTACTGGGTCTAAGCTGAGTCTAGCTCGCCTCTGCAGCAGCTGGTCCTCTCCATATACCTGATATGATCAGCTCTGAACAGATCAACAGATGAATCCACCCTGTGACTCACATTGCGCAGCTGAGAAAAAGAAAAATTCATGAGGAGCTCTGCCTGCGCTGCATTAATGGACCCTCAAAAACGTCAGAATTTAGAGAGGGGTCACAAAATGATACAAAGGGACACAGACGCATTTAAAAGACGAATTTTCGTATTGTACATCATGCTATCATACTACTGCAACTGTAATTCAGTGGGAAACACTGAAATGTTTAAATTATGTGTTCGTTTTTTCATGCAGCACAAAACTCAATATGAACCATGACCTCTGTATACTGTATCACCCCTACTAAATAGTGTCAGTGTCGCAGTCTGCACATGATGTTAACTTACAGGTCTGGCAGTCCTGTGCTGTTTCTCCCCAGCAGCTTTCCCCACATGCAGGCGAACAACTTGGACCTGAACCAGAAGGAACACAACAGCAAATGAGGAGAGCTGAGCACCCACAATTAAACAGGAGAAAACAAGACAAAGAGGCTACTGCTACAAATTCAAATTTCCTGAGTTCATCATCTTAGTTTAGCCTGTTAGCATGCTAATATCACCTGATTAGCCCTTAACATTAGGTTTAGGGTTAATGGGAATGTTGTAAGTTTTTAAAGTATATGGCTATAAAACAAAATATTGGGTGATTAGAGGATCATCAAAGTCACTAAAATGTACCGATGGGGACTAGAGCCACAGCACTAGTGTTGCTAAAGACATGCCTTTACATAATGTGCTGTCACATTAGCCGTTTTGTATTTACTATGGCACACAGGAAACAAGTGAAGCTTCTCTTCCTGTACTACCCAGTGGGATGTTCAATATTTCAATCAATCAATCAGCTGCTCACATTTAGGGGCCCGAGGCTGCAGTCGGTGCAGCCTGGCGTCGATGTTCTTTTCGTCCAAAGTGTCCCTCCAGACGATGTTCTGGGGGTCTGGGAAGCACAGCTGGGGGTTCCCCCAAATATACACCGCACCCAACAGGATCTCTGCAGAGGAGACGATACAAAGATATTGTTAACATTAATGAGCCAAAAAGCTCAAACATGCAGTCCCAACTCCAGTTTAGTCCAGTCTGGTCATACTGGGTTTGGGCATCAACTCTGAGCTCTACTATAGGATTATTTGACCTGTGAGGCTACGAAGCCGGAGTGTCCTGAGCCCCTGTCCACCCTGAGTGTTTTCTAGCACAGCCAGGGCGTAGCTGGAGTTGTACAGCTGGCTGCCTCTTATGATCCGAAGGCTGTCCAAAGGCAACAGACTCACTGACACATGGGCTACAAGTACATAGCCCTGTACCTCCACGATCCCCTGAAGAAGAAAACAAAATGATGAGTCAGATGTGGCAACAAAAACAAGTGGCCTGGCTAAAACAATTGGAGCGAACTCAGCTAAGCAACTTAATACTTGTCTTTAATTCCTTCTCATTTGTTTAATAACTCATAAATATGCTTATTTTGGGTAATTTTATGCAGCCATTATTACAGAATAAACACACTTTGTATCAGAGGTCGCGTTAACCAAATATTTTCTGTCACTGACTGAATGTTTCTAACAATGCTGAAAAAATAATTTTGACCAATTACAACACTGAGGATGATCTACTACAAACAAAAAAGTCTAACACAACCTCTGCTCTGTATCTACCTGTAGGAAGGATAGGTCAGGGTTTCCATGAAGATGTGTGATCTCCAGGTTGCCGTGGACAACCTGGCAGCCGGTGTAGAGCAGCTTCAGGGTCTCGTAGTGATTTTCCAGGCTGGAGGGCAGGGCCAGCTTCATGTCTGTGCCCAGGCATACTGCAACACAGATAACACAAATACTATTAAAACCTTTTTCACTAACATTCAAGTTTTACTGTCATTAAAAATCACTTGGAAAGCAAGCAATATATGAAAAAAGCAAACACAAAAGCCTTCTTCATCAACACTATGAATGTTTCTGTCCACTCAAGACTCAAATTAATTCCAAGAACTACTTTTAACGACCAAAAAAAAAAGAATAGAAAAAAAGTTAATTTAAAAAAATCATCTTTAACTCCTGGAAATAAAACTTACTTGCTGCTTTTAACAAAATGTGGTCAAATTTAATGAGTGCATGAGTGTTTCAGCATGATTGTGTAGGATGTTAACGATCTAATTTAAGTAACCTAAATAAAGGAAAAACATATTTTAAAAATGATTTTTGACTCTCATCATTGAACTCCCCAGCACCCTGTCTAGACTGAAAAAATTAACCTTCCATTAACTGCAATGAAAACAAATGTATGATACTGACTGAACTCACTGAACTCATTTAATTACTTTAGGGATGCACAAGCAGATAAATTATCCAAAATAATGGGACATTTTTATTATTTATTATTCCAGTAATGAAATTACAGATGATAAATAGCATAGATAACAGGAAGCCAGACTGCTTTCACTGACTTAACAGGGGCAGCATCAACAACAACCCGGCTGGCTGACTCAAGAGCAAAACATAGCTGCGGGTGTGGACCGTCTTTGACCATCTTGACACATAAAAATATGGGAAAATTAAGACATTTACTTCTGACATTTTATCCACCTTGTTCCTGGCCCCCATGATACCTTGCATGAAACCAGAGTTTTCTAATGGTAACAGTTTGTTTACAGTACTCTATTCTTCTTTCCAAGAGCAATTGGGAAATAAAACATTGAACACATCACCTGTTATAGCTCAAACGGTATTATGTAATCATACCTCTGCCATCTCTGACAGCCATCTCAAAGCATTGCGGTCTTTTTCCTTTTCAATCAAGCACGCTATCAATTAGCTTGCCTTGCTCCGTTAAAATATTGTTAACTTAAACATGGCCCGAGCTAGCTTAAGGTGAACATCTGCTCCTTCTAAAGATGATTTCTGATTTCTGATGACTTATTAAGAGATACTAATACATTCGACAAACTTTTAACACAATTCAGTATTAACTTTAGCTCCATATAAAGTGAATAAATGTGGTGTTTCCCAGCTAATCCTCCGCTCGTCTGCGTTAACGACGTTTTTTACATGTTTTGTTAACTTCTGATTTATTAAAAACTGTTCTGAGCCAAACATGATGCTGAATTTAGCAGCAGACTTCAGTAATAGTAATATAAAGTAGTAGTAAAAGAAATAACTTGAGGCATTCATTTTTTTATATGATATCAAGGAGTCAGTAACACATTCTCAGCCATAATGACTAAATAAATATTTCAAGGTATGTTGCTGATTTTATTTTATAACTAGCAATTTCCTAATGTAGGTTGAGAATGACGTCAGACGGGGAAAGACAGGGATATCATGTACTGACGCTGAGTGACGGACCTGTCAGTCTAGGTGTCATTCTTTTCCACAAATTCTGATTTAGTACTTTTTTTCACGATGTCTCGTGAAACTCTTGTGGTATTATTTCTCATATCAATGGCACCTTTGGCAACAGGAACAATCCCTTTTTGTTCTGGTTACATTTTCTACACACAGTTGCTGTAGACAAAAAATTAGCTTAGACTGGTTGTTAGTCGTTACAGACACGGACAGTGCGACGGGTACCAGAGCAGTGCAAAGACATTTTAGAAAATGCTAAGTTAATATTAGTTAAATATTTGTTAAAAATGTCAGTCTATGGGACTAACTAGCTTACTGCTACTTCTGCTGTCTCACAGGAAGTTGCGCACATAATCATTTCTACAGTAGTGCCCTCAGGAATAAGGTAGATAGACAAAACAATTAGTTGATTAATTCCAGGAATAATCAAGAGATGTAATAAGAGTGAAAATAATCATTAGTTGCAGCCCTAGAATAATGTTTTAAACTTTTTTTATTATATACTATAAGTGTCAACTCTGCAAAAAATAATTATTTCTAGACAAAATATTTAAATAAAGTTGATTTTCTGCTTCTTAAATGGCTTCAAACTTCGTTCTCTTGCACCTACAGTAAGACAGAGTGTTGCACATTTATAGTTACAGGCAGGGGACTTTGTGTTATATGTTGAAAACTCCAACTAATGCTCTGACTGTAAGTGCTTGGACTTCACATATTTTGACTTGGTAACTTTTCACAAGTGGCCTTGACTGGATAAAACACAAACCATATGCGCTACGCCTCAGTCTTGTCTCTTGGTGTCTATGATATAGTTTCCACTGGCAGCAAAGAGCACAGATTCCCCACAGTGGGTCACACACAGCATTACATTCAGGGTCATGCAGCGCTCCAATTCACGGGGGCTCTCGCACACACATAGCTCCCGTGCTTTAGCAGGCAGTCACACAGTGGACAGTCCCTCCTCTGCTGAGGTTATAAATGACTTCCTCTGGCTCCCCTCCAACAGCCCTTCAATAGTCAACCCACTTTTACTGATTGAGCCACCCCCCCCCCCCCCCCCCCCCCCCCCCCCCCCCCCCCCCCCCCCGTCCTATCTCTGTCCCTCCTTTTGGAAAAGACGGCTGAAGGGGTTCATATACATCATCGCAGGAACAGGAAGTGCTGGCAGACGGGAGGGAGATTTTCATGATACACTGAGGTTTAACAACGTTCAGCAGATATGTGCTCAAGACAGTTTTTTATCATGTATGTGCGTCCGCCACGTGTTTCCTGGTGATGGCTGCACACTCAGAACTTGACTCCTGTAAAGACATACTGGGTCATAAAGCGTAAATAAAGTCCACATTAAAATCTGACAGCTACTGCGGCAAATGGATCTATGATTAATGGAGCGGCGGCCAAAAATACACACCCAGTCGTCGCAGCTTGTGTCAAATATCAAATCAAATGACTAATCACTGCCTCCTTCAGTGATGTCATCATGGAAAATAGTTTCACATGCCAAGCCAAAAGGGGAGTCGTGTTTTTATTCTCCAGCATTTAAATCATTTTTAATAGGACAGAATATCTAAACAGAAACAAAAACCGGCTCCTTGAAACTCTGTGATCACCACAAACTGCCGCACACACATGCACAAACAACACAGACAGCTCCAACTCAGGGGATTAGGTAAATGTGCCGTAACAGAGAGCACAACAGAGCAGATTTTCCATTTCTAAAAAAGTGTGTATAAAGCCAGTTCTCAGCTTCCTCCCCTTTTACTCCCTCATTGTTTGCTCTCCAAAAGTCTCTCAGCAACGGCTGTGTGTGTGTGCATGCGTGGCCTTGTGAAGAGCTGCCCACCCCTCCATCCCCGTGGCCTAAAATACTCCCTCTTTTATCATTTACTTTGCTTTAGGAGCTGCCCACCCCTCCATCCCCGTGGCCTAAAATACTCCCTCTTTTATCATTTACTTTGCTTTATCTGCTCACTGCCATGTCACTATCACCACCTTCCTCTTTTTTAATTCACTCAGGACTTCTTCTGTACCTGCTCCCAGAGCCAAGTTCACTCAAAATTTCCCTTCTCTTCTCCCATTCATTTCTTCCTGTCAGTTTCTCTGTGAGTGCATGAGTCGTTGCCCAATTCTTTTTGGACTCTGGAAAGTGTCATTTCACAGGAATGTGTGTCTTTGCATATCTAAAAGATGACACACATGCATGTGTTTCAGCAGCGAGGGGGTCGGGAAGGGACCGGGTTGTAGTTCAGAGTCTTGCTCAAAGACATGTAAGCAACCTGTGACCCTGCAGGTCACAAGACAGTCTCAGTGTCCAGAAGGTCACCCAGTCAAAACACACAACTAATGACCGCCACTGACATCCAAGCACACACACACACAGAGTTAAACATGTTAGTGCTGGTTCTGCGCAGCGTACTGTGGCAACTTGGCCCTTGAAACTTTCACTGGTCAGGTGTGTCTGTGGTTAACAAGAGAATTTCCTGCCTTTTGTCCACATTTTGATCATTTACTAGCTCACAGTCAAGTCCTTCTGTGTTCAGTGAGGCTTCTGACATACCAGCTTTTAACATTTTTCTTAATTTATTCAGTGAGAGCCCATTTCCTGGCATTTAGAGCAACCCAGCAGTTATTTTGATCTTATTCAGTGCTCTCGTGTAAATGCAGAGACAGATTTTAATGCATCACAGGAACTTGAAAAGTAGGACAAGAAAGTGATTTGTACAACAAATTGCCGAGCCTCATCAGAAGGCAAATGTCTTTATAGTTATCTGAACAACTTAACTCAAAGGTGGGGTGAAAAGTTTGCCGTCACAGAGAGCAGGGAGATGCTAAATGTTTAAATATTGATGTATATAATAATGAATGTTTGAATATGGGGTAACAGCAGCACACAGTTTCAGACTGTCTCTCCTGGAAGACATAGTGTTGCGCATGTTTGTACACAAATAAGAGACAGAGGTAGTTGTGGAAAGAATGAAAACAGCTTTAAGTTTTGTTTATGTTCACACAAGACAGCGTGACGTGGGCCTCTGTAGATGGTGCGCAAGCTACAAGCATGCACAGAGGTGCACTGTTCACTGCAATATCCTCCAAATGACAAGCAGCGTACAACAAAATATTTTGTGGACAAGCAAGAAGTCAACTGGTGTTGGCAGAAGAACATCACCAGATAAGTAGGTCGCCTGGCAACTGTGGTAAACACCAACACACAACCAAATAATGGCAGTTATGTACTCTAAGTATTACTGTAACTTAACTCCAAATTGGAAGTATCTCACTTTCTTTCTACCACTTACAATCTCTCATGTTCTTAAGCACCCTGTGACTGTAAAATTTTAAGCCATTTGACTGTCCCTGTGGCAAAACCCTCCCAGCCAGTCTCATTTGAAGGTGTCCCTGTTTAACTGAAAGGCCCAGCGTGCACAGAAGGTACTAGTAACAAAATTCAGAGGTGCACAGCCAAGCGCCACGA